ACCCTGTAATATAATACGTGGTCCAATTTAAAAATTATAGGTCAATATTAAGGTCCGATACCGTGCCGTTAGTTAACCTTCCGTTAGTCGCGCGCACCTCACAGGTGCATCCCTACTGCACTTCCACCTCCTTTGCCGTCAATAGATTTTTCCGGGGGTCGAGCCTAATGTTATGTTCCTAACTTTGGATTACTCAAATGTCCGTGTAAAACCGACCTTAGAACATGTCGATGGAGAGTTGGAACCGCTCAAATCACCCCTCTGGTGCAGCGCGACCATTGACGCAAGTATTATGGATATAATATTTTTATGAATTAAATATATATATTTTATCTCATTTTCTGTCCTTCTCAACGTAGCAGGTATAAATGGTCAAGTTACATTCACAGAAAATGGTTACGGAGTAAAAAACAGCACAACCTTCTTGCGTCAATTGGTTGAACATCTTGTGATGGAGGAAGAGATCCGACGCGGGAGCAAGAAAAATTTATCTTCGGTACTTCGCTAAATAAGTTTTTTGATATTTATCTCTCTAAAGAGTCTTAAATTGGTAACAATTAACTATTTAAACTAGACTAAATTTCATTTGGCTTTCAAAAAATCAGAAACACCTCATAGGTGCAACGCGATTAACCATGTCGGAAACAAGTGCGCGACTAACGGAAGGTTAAAGCACCAAATTTGCCCTTACTTCTGATACTAAATAATTATTTTTTGATTAGAAACTGCAACTGCATACTCCTCTCCTTCAATTTTAAAATTTTTTTCTCAACATTTCACCATATATATCACGTGTTTTGGGACTCGAGACACTTCAACGCTGTTCTATATTCACCCGTTTTTTTTCTCAACATTTCGCCATGTATATCACGTGTTATGGGACTCGAGACACCGCAACGCTGTTCTATATTCACCCGGGTTTTTTTTCTCAACATTACGCCATATATATCACGTGTTATGGGACCAGGGCTTGAGACACCGCAACGCTGTTCTATATTCACCCGTTTTTTTTCCTCAACATTTCGCCATATATATCACGTGTTATGGGACTCGAGACACCACAACGCTGTTCTATATTCACCCGTTTTTTCCCCGTTTAAAACTTTTAAATTCAATGAAATTCACACCAGTTACAGTATTTTACCAAATCTATGACACATAAAATATTTCGCTGATATAATCTAGTCTTCCGTTTTTCAAAAGCACATGCTTTTACTTAAAAAAAGAAAGTATATATTTCGGAAATGAACTGAAATAAAAATGCAATGTACGCTCAGCCTTTCACCTGAACAACACGAAAAAAAAATTCTTTTCAAAAGCAAATATATCCTTTTATGGTGAGTACATCCTGGCTATTAAATAATATCAATCATAAAGAGTCCATATCACTTTTTGTCATAATACAGACGATTTTTAGAGCACAATGTTTTTACTTTTATTAAAAGCAAATCTTTTAGCAATAAAACGTGGGTACGTTTTTTGTTCAAAATGTATTTATGAAGAAACGGGGCCAAACTGCACAAACTGAAGTGTCCAATGAACTTTCTCTGCATTTTTTTTATTAATTTTATTGTTATCGAAAAGCTATTCATCATTTATTACTTACTTTTTCCCAATCGGATCTATTATTTTAAAGCTCCAGTTTTTGATTATCTATTCTTTGATTCTGCTTTCAATTTCAGAAAGGATTGGGAATCTGTTCTATTTCCTTCTTTGGTGTATCGGTGGCCTAGACAAACTGAATTCAAACAATTAAATAGTTGCAACTTAAATCGCATTATTGGACATTGTAGAAACGGTTTTTTCCGAACGAATGAACTGAATAAACTTATTCTAAATAATAAAAATGAGTCATTAAAAAGCATAAGCTTATGAAATAGGAAATGGCATAGACGAATCACATTGAAAAAATTATGTATTTAATGCTTTGAATGTCAAATATGAAACAGATTTTAAGGGCAAAGCTCTTAAAATCTTTTCAGTAAAAAAGATTATGTTGAATTAAAATAAATATTTGTGAAATTAAAAACTTCCATCAACATTCAAATTTCTAAGTATTTATTAAAAAAAAACATTTTCTAAAGATACATATATTTGGCATATTTAAAATAAATTTCTTGTTACAATCCGTAATGTAGCTTAATTTCGTATTTACAATACAATAGCTTAACTTCTTTTTACACTACTCTGTAACTTAAATTTCTTTTTACCCTTCTGTAACTTAAACTTCATTTTTACACTTCTATAGCTTAGCTTCGTTTTTACATTCCATAGCCTGAGTTCTTTTTTACACTATTATCTTCTAACCACGTTTTTAGACTATTATATCCTAACTTCGTTTGATAAACCCTTGTAATCTATTTGTTTCTATACTCAAATTCAAATTATTATTTACTTAACTTCTTTCATTTGTTAATATTTATAACGATGCAATTTTGTTTTGTTTGTAGGTAAAAGTTAGAATACTGAATTTTTCAGTTTCATACAATTTTGTATTTCTGATGATTATGCATTGTTTCAATGCTATTCAGTTTTAAAAAACAAAAATACTACTTTTTTAAATTCTAATTTCTTAAAAATGCCTTTATATTCGTGTTATAAAATTTTAAGAGAAAAAATTTTCAAAACCTCTTGGGGTAATAACAAAAATTGCAAAAGATTGTAAATTTTGAATTTTAAAAACTCAACTTTATAATATTTTATTTAAAAAATAAATTGTGCAGTAGAAAATAGGTTTAAGCTCATTTACAATTCATTCTATTTTTCATAAATTTCAAAATTTCAAGCATATAATATTAGTTAAATTATTAAGGGGGAGCAACACAGTAGAAACCTGTAAAAAGAAGAACTTTTAGAACATTTTGCAGCTATTGTGATAAACTTAACTTATTACATTTTTTTTATTTTATTGTACATAGTTTAATCTTAATTTTATCATGTTGCAAAATACAAAAAAAAAATAATAATAATAATAATAATTAGCGCTTACATGATACAATAATTATACTCATTTCTCATAATTTGAAAAAAAATCATCCAAATTCGATCCCGTTTTGATTTCCTTAAACTAAATTAATGTAATTTTCGTTGCACGTAGGATTTAAAAAATAAGAAGAAAAAGAATTCCCAAATCACGGTGTTTTGAGCAAAAAAATTACTCAAAAATACGTTGCATTCACCTGTATGACTCAAAATTTCGTCTTCTTCTAGTTCTATTTGCATGACAGTCCTTTGTGGGCCAGAGCCTTCCCTTGAATCTTCCTCTATTCTGCACGTTTCTTTGCGATGGTTCTTCAGCAAGAAATTCTTAGGATTTTGAAATCTTCTTCCACACTGCCAAACCATCTGATCTCAGCCTACCTCTAAGTCTAGTTCACATTGGTTTGTAATTGAAGACTTTAAATATCAAGGAAGGGGGGTCCATTCGACAAATTTGACCAGCAAGCTTAAAGCTACTTATTTCGATGCATTTGTTGCTATCAGCTTCCTTAAATGTTCTATATAGCTCAAAATTATGTCGTTCTCTCCTTAAGACATCCGCATGATAATAATGATAATAATAATAATAATAATAATTATTATTATATATATATATATATATATTTCATTTATCATTGATTTCAATCTANGACTTTCTATATTGTATATATATCTGCACATATTATGATGCATCGTTTACATTTTCACGAAAATCAATTCTGTATTTTGGAACAATAATTTTAAAGTGTAAGATATCTAAACTGTCGAAAAAGGCAATTTCTTTCTCCATTTTTTGAAAACTTTACTGTGTTGTTCCCCCTCAATGCATGCAACATAAGTTTTAAACGTAGCCTCAATGTCAGAAATTTTAGTGCCATAGAAATTTAAAACCATAATATCACTCAAATTTTCCACATTCATATGCGGCTAAGGTGTGCCACATTATCCTATTTCTAAAGCTTGACTACATGATACTATGGTTCACTTTTAATGGAAAAATGGTTCAACATAACATTTTATTAAGGTTACCATAAATTGCCAAGGATTTAATGTTCAAGGTACCGATATAAGGACTCAACGTTGAAAGTTTATTCTGAGAATGCCAAACGATACATTTAATAAAATCCATAATGAGTCATTAATTTTTTTTTTATAAAAACTCATAGCTACTTAAAATGCTTTTAACAATAGGTTATTGGATCAATTATTACTAATAAAACCATTAGATACACGAAATTTTTAAATTACAAGAATGAACTGAAAACTAAGTTTTCTACGGCACATAAATCAAAACAAAATATAATTGCTTGGAAAGATGTATTGCAGAAGACACAGCAATATCTCAGATACTTCTCAACTTATGATCTTCCGGAATTATAACATTTGTTTCACCGAGGTATACTATACGTTTTGCTGTTTAATATCATAGGGAGGTAATCATAAGAATCTAATATCATAGGTAATCATAAGATCAACTGGAAACTAAGTTTCCTGCAGCCCATAAAACGAAACAAATTTAAATCTTTTGGAAAGATGTATTGCAAAAGACATCGCAATATTTCAGTAACTTCTCAACATATGAACCTTCCGAATTGTAACATTTTTACTACCGAAGTATACTATACGTTTTGTAGTCTAATATTATAGGAGTCTAATATCAGTCCTAGGTAGTAATCAGAAGTAAGGCTTAACTCAGTCCCACCCCCATAGGGGGCATTCAGGGGTAACTCGGTGCGCACTCGTTACTGCATCAACAAGAGAAGAGACACTTATAGGAAGTAATCATATAGGTAGTAATCGTAAGATCAATTGGAAACTAAGTTTCTTACGGCCAAAAAAAAAGAAACAAATTTTAATTGCTTGGAAAGTTGTATTGCAAAAAACGCGGCAGTATTTTAGATAATTCTCAAACTAAGAACCACCTGAGTCGTAACAGTTGTACTACCTAGGTATACTAAATGTTATACTAGGTATACTTATATGTTATACTAGGTATACTATATGTTATACTAGGTATACTATATGTTATACTAGGCATACTATATGTTATACTAGGTATGCTATACGTTATACTAGGTATGCTATATGTTATACTAGGTATACTATGCGTTACGCTATAGTATACTAGGTATACTATAGCGTAAAATGATAGGGAGGTAATTATAGAAGTCTAATATCGTTGTGAATGATCATAATATCATAGATATCATGTTGCTAGAAACTTCAGAAGTATCGTCACTGAAGCTGCAGAAGTCCTTCCTTCTAACTTATAGTCCTGACCTTTCTCCCAGATCGACTGCCACCTAAATCTGTTCTAGTACATGAAAGAATTCCCATCCGGGAACCACTTTCCTGCAAGCGAGCTCACAGCTGTGACGTGTTGGCTCCATTCCCAGGTTTCAGACTCCTATGACTCTGCACGCAATATTACAGATCATCAAGTGTGTAGCGTTATCTTTCAATTCCAAGTTGCATTCCTATGGGAGTGAACTGCTCCACATTTTTTGCAAGTTCAGAAAGGTAAAAGATGCATGACGTTATTTTTCTGAAACAGACACAATAGAAAAGTATTGATTTTCCTACAAAAAAAGGCATTTAAAAGCCTTTCGACGTTTCGAATTTGTCATAATTTGTATTACTTTTTGTTCTTTATTGTTCTATTCAATCATTTTGCTTTAGTAATTGGGATCATTTCTTTTCCCCTTGAATAGGAATTAATTAAGTTCGAAAAAATGTCTGTGTAGTAAACACTGGGCAATGGCCTTTACACACTCTTAAAAGTATTAGTGTCAGTAATACCGAGCAAGTGCATACCGACCAACAGTTCTTACATTGCAGAGCAAATAATATAGCAATTTACCTAAAAAAATCAGTGGTGAGAATACAATATCCACTTCCCATAGGGAAGCAGCTTGAAATGAGATTTCTGGCGCTGCACGCTATGACATATTGGACAACAACACTTTATACCGCGTTGTTGCTTATAACAAAAGGTTCCAATTCTGGGTGTTATGTTTAAAAATAGTTTATATGTTTAAAAATACTTTTTTCTTTTATATACTATAGTGAGAAGCTTCAATTTTTTAGATCGTGCTTGTATTTCAACTAAAATGAATCACATCTTAAAGATCTATCAAAAATAACTTTCTTCACGCTTCGAACTGTCTTTCCAAAAAATAACATTGGCATTAATTTAAATTTATACACATTTAAAAAAAAATTTAAATGCTACTCGCGTTTAGAAAATCTTATACTTCTATAAAATAAATTTATCTTTTACTAAATTATTCTGAAAAACACATTTATTTATTCTTGAAGTTTTGCCTTATTATACTCACTTCCCTCCTTTTCAGAAGGTTTTTCAGAAACCTATAAAAAGATAAAAATATTCCTACTTTGTATCTTAAGCAAACAGAGACACTTAGATTGGGTTGTTGATAACTATTTATTTTAAGTTCGAAAAAAAAATCTTTTTGTCTTCTCAATAAACGACATAAAATAAAGATGAAAATACTCTTTTTGAAGAAAAAAAACGGAAATAAATGTAACATTTTTCTTCATTTTCAACTTATTACTTTTATTTTAATTAAACTAATAGAAAATAATGTGCTCTTGAATTATTTTTTTTTTGAAAAAACTGACAAAAACGCTTTTTTTTTAAACGTGAAAAACCAAATAAACGGAAAGAGAATGTTAACAAAACAAAAAATATAACATAAAAGCTTTTTTATCCTTATTTGTGATAAAAATTAATTACCCTAGCATTTTAACATTTCGTTTTTACTTACGTGATTATTACACTTTACGTTTTTTGAAGTAATACTATTTATTTTTATTACGACTGATAAGAACCTTAACATTTATAGAAAAAGTTTTAAAAAATAAAAGAGTCAAAAATCTATTAGAATTATTTTGAATTGCTTTTAATAATTTAAATTACCGGTTTATTTATAATTAACTGCTGTAAATCTAAGTATTTGCAGTAAAAAATCTGTGCTTAAAATAAAGCTTCGCTATATTGCAATTTGCCTGAATTAAATAGTCTATAGAAAATAAGTCGTCTTTAATATTTTTAACGCAGAACAATTTTATACAGAACAATGCAGAACAGCATAGCAGATACAGAGCAATACAAAGCAGCATAGCCATAGCAGCAGCATCGGTCAGATACAGAACAATACAGGGCAACATTACATGCAACCTAATGAGACATAAACAGCATGTTCCATTTCTTTGTATGATTTTATTAACTCGGTTTCGTGTCTATTAGAACGGAATTTTGCAATCAAACTTTCGACCACGTTCCGATTAGCTAGAGAACTCAAACCTTTATAGGAGCTCCACTCCCATATATGCATATAAATATATACTACAAGAAAAATGCTTATTGGATGTAAAATAATGCTAGGAATGCTTTATGAAACATTCCGTGGTTCCTCTCATATGCAACAGCGTTTCTTACTTAATGAGTCATGTATAGTTTGTCAATAGAAAGGACTCCCCTCGTCACAAAGTCTAAGGAAACAAGACTATAGTGCTAGGGAAACAAGACAATAATGCTGTGGAACAAAGAAATAGCGCATTTTAAAGAGGCGAGCTTCTCTGTCTTCTAATTCCCTTTCTCTCGGGTACCTGAGCCAAAACCTGTTTTAAATATTGACCCTACGCCCCTAATTAAAGTAGTGAATAGTGAATCATAGCTCCAGACAAATGGCGAGGAAAGTTCTTTCAATGGTCAGACTATAAGTGTTTATAAAAACATAATGTTTACTCATATTAAAAACAGTTCAATTACAAAAATACACACAACTTTTGACTTTCATTTTTTAACAGTGTTCATTTTTATCTTCTGGGTAATAAAGCTTACCAATTATTTAAAAAAATAATAAAATAATTGTCGTTTTACATATAAGATGTACGATTTGCACATATTTCGATGCATTATTTACCGCCAACCATTTTAAGCTAATTTAAATTTGTTTTTAAGAAATTATTTCAGCATTTTTTGTAATTTATAGCTTAATTAAATCAAAAATGCACCAATTATTTTAATTGTATCAAATAAGCTGAAATGGCTAAATTTTATTAATCCTAAACGTTTTTCAGCCTTAAATTATCGCATGAACTTTAGTTCTTGCAAGTTTTTTTTTAAAAATAAAACATTATATCCTGAACACAGTCCTCTTAGCTTTACTAATGCGCATGTCTTTACAAATGCGTATGTCGCATGTACTAGGTGGGTCTTAGCGGCTCTGAGGATCGAACCACGACCTCTTCGGACCGTAGCTCGATGCTCTAACCTCGGGGCTACCACTTCCCATGTTTTCAATAATGACTGCTAATTATTTTAAAAAAAACTTAATGTG